GATTTAAAAGTTGTTTAAACAGACTAAATATTGTGAGTGACACATTAGAGAAGCTTGGAACGTCGAAGAATTATGCGAACTTGCGGACACAAATTATATGGTTGATTACTGGTTGGCTCATCATAATGCTTTTAATGGATATAAACGATTATGTATGGTATCAAAAACATACTCCTAGATCTTACGCCATAATGACTATATGTGCAGTATGTATTGCAAATCACGCCATTCATATCAATACGCTGTTCGATTTCATGTACATAATGCTTCTAAGGTTTGTAAATAATGTTGCAATGTAATAATCACATTATTTTTTATTAGAATACAATATAACAAATTAATCAAATCTTGTAGAGCAATTCAATAAATTTATTCAATAAATTAGATATTGTAAATTAATTATTTTGCATTGTATTTAATGCAGATACGTAGGATCTCAATTTGAGCATGTTAATGAGAATATTCAAAAGTTAGTAGAACAGAAGAAACAAAAAATAAGATATGCATGGGAAACCTCTACTTCGCCTCTGTCTCACCAACACATGATTGACACTGAAACATCTAAGCAAAATATATGGATTTTAATGTAAGAAATAACAAAAAATATATATTATATGTACTATTATAGTTCTCGAATTGTACATCAAAGTAATAAAATAAAACTACATATTTAAAAACATTTAAAAATATTATATCCAAAATATTATTTATTATTATTATATATATTCGAAATAAATAAATAAAAGCATTTTTTAAATAGAAAAAAGAAATTTATTATAAAAAGATAACATATTACAAAAGTTTCATAAAATTTAATTTTAAAGTAAAGAATAAATTTCATAATAAAAGAGTTGAAAGTCGCACAAAGTTGCGGCCATATAAATTATTTACTTTATTGTGCATTTTATACGATACTCAAAAATATCATTTATCGAATACATTTCACAGGCATATTCATCTTGAATTATGTTCGATATCACGTCAATTAAACACAATATTTGGATTGAAAATGGTGACGCAAGTAGTTGCATTTCACGTTTTCACAGTGCAAATTATTTATGAATGTTATGTTATGATGATGATGACGGATGCTGACGATTTCACGCAAAAACTGATCGATCTTTTTGGTATTTATCTTTGGATCGCATTGAACACCGTAAAAATGATTGTAATTAATTATATCTGCGAAAAAGTTTGTATTAAGGTATATATATTTCTTATAATATATATACTACAAACAATAAAGTTAGATAATTTATTACTTATTGATATTAATAATATGTGTTGATTATCATGCCTTAGTAATTTGTGCTTTTATATGTATTTATATATTAATCTAAAAAATCTCATTTCTTTTCTTTCCTTTTATTTACGTTAAGTAAGAAACATTGTGTTAAAATTAATTTTTAAAATTATAATAAATTTTTTCTAAACATATAATTTATATTTTTATCAAAATAACTACGTATACGTTAATAAATTTATTAATACTAGGCAAATAGAGTGCAGATGTTTTTGAACAGATTAACGAATCTTACTTTTGACATCGAGACTCATAAAACTGTAAGCAATCATTTTTATGTAACTATATACTTGCACAACATTAACGTTTTAATTACACATAAATATTTACAGATCATGCAGTTTCTGTTCCAAATACTACAAAGGCCATTAAAAATCTCTGGGCTTGGACTGTTTAATTTTGGTTTTAATTTCCTTCGTGAGGTATATAATTGTCTTTCGATAAATATAATAAATTACAGATTTATAAGTTGATTTAAGTTTAAACTGATAAATATCAGCAAAAATAAAAGCTTTTCAAAATATGTATAAAAAATACTAATACAGTATAATACTAATAAAGTATAATACTAGATTACTTTATATTTCCTTAAATATACATATATATTATTAAAGTAAATTAAACAATAAATAATTTTTTCTCTAGTGTGCAAGCTTCATTGCGATGATTATAGTATTTGTGATACAATCACCTCCACGAGGAGAGAAATATATAGGTGCTGAGATGAAAAAAAGATTGTAAATATTATTTATGTTAATTCATTAAACGTTCATTAAAAGTTGCTTTGTCATACTTTCAATTGATACTTATTAAAAAATGAACGTATACATTACAGCCTTCATTTCATTTAGCTTTCTTTGCTTCATTATAAAATTTGAATTACTTCGCTTATTTAATTCATAAACAATATGACTTTCTAGCAAATCGATATTTTAATTTGCGTAAGTACAGGTACAATTGCTAAAATTATGGAAACTGCCATTTCTCTAACATATTAGTGTCCATGTATGTTTTACGATAACACATTGCAACACATTTACAAAACAGACTCTCTTTAATGTCCGGTCAAGAAGTAAGAGTTCTTAAGTTAATCCTG